TCGTCATTGAGACCATAGCCAGTTGAATAGACTATCTATCTGGCCCGTATTTCTCTTTATCTTTATTTTCACTTTTATATTAATGACTAGTAATATCTTTACTAGCTTGAGAGTCTTTACAAAGGATCTTAACGTTAGCTTATTAAAGGCTTTAGTATATAGATGTCTACTCTTATAAAGTAAGAGGTATACTACCATTTATTTGTCAGATTTTGATCTTCTAAATCGATTTAGGTTTACTATAGCTTACGAACCAAGGACACCAACTACCCTAATTTAGTCGATTACTAAGTATAGTCTGGTATTTTCCGAAGCTTATATAACCTTTTTTTTGTTTGACTTTGACTGGCTATAAGGCATACTACGATCGGTATTTAACGTAGAAACATAAAAATACTGTCAAAACAAAGGCCATGCTACCATATCAGGGCACAGCAGTAAGGAGAACACAAGGGACACAAAGCTCATAAATTAAGGTTAAAGCTGTATAGCCTATCTTTCCTAGGTATAGTGTAGCAAAAGTGTGTGTATCTGTCTAAGTGGTGGTGGTATAGAAGGTGGAAAGGGTAGGTAGCTAAGGTAGGTGGGTGCAGGTAGTGGAGGTTATGTGACCTAACAGTGACAGCATTTGGCTTTCAAGGTCTCAATCATCTCGTTCATCTCTGTCTCTCCCTTTCCAATCTGCTGGGCCGGCCCTACCTCTCTGAGCCGGTACCCCGCAGGAAGGAACTTGTCGTCCCAATGTCCAGGCAAGGCGCCACCTCTTGCCCATCGCAGCCACGCCCTCGGCCCCCAGAGATCCTGGAAAGAAGGCTTAACGTACCAGGGGTGCACCTGCCAGCGGGCAACGTTGTATCGACTGGTAAAGGGCTGGGGGCTGTCGAGGAGATACTTGCGACGTAGAAAGTATGGGCGCGGGAGGAGAAGATGGCGGAGAAGGAATTTTCGGAGACTGACGAGGAAACGAAGCATAGCTTGGTAGCCAGTCGGAGGCAGAGGCAGTCTGTCCCACGCAATAATAGAGGTAAGCCGATAGTTGTAATGACGTAAGAATAGAAGAAGAAGAAGAAAAGAAAAAGAAGACATACCTCAATGCTTCTCCCACCTTTGGTCCAACAAGTGTACAGAGCAGATTCCGGCCGACAGGTTTGAGTGTAGTTGGTAAGCGGTAGAGCATCATGTCCATTGCTGAAGAGGCCAGGATAGCATTGCAAGCAGACGAAGTCATGCTGCGGTCGGCGTACTCGCGCCTCCATGTGTCGAGCTCGTCCAGCCAGGCCAGGCCGTCGGCCCAGCCCTGCGGGTGTGAAGGGAGCTGTTGGTACGAGATGTCAAGGTCCTCGCCGAGAGCCTTCCAGAATATGGCCATGGCGCAGCGCTCCTTATCGGTCAAGCGACGCCACTCGTACTTTTCGGTCCAGAGCATAGGTTCCAGCACGAACAGACTGAGCGTGTATAGCATATCGTCGTCCAATATCTTGCCAGTTCGCCGATATGAGGCGTGGAGGAAGTTTGTGCGCGCCTTAGATTCCATAGCTCGCGTGGAGCCGGGCCTGGCCATCACCATATTGGTAAGCAGCACGCTGGTGTCGGCGGCTCGCTTTGAGGTCCTAGCCAACTTGTCGTCGTCGTCGTCGTCGTTGTGGCTAGCAAACTGCCCTGTACTTACGAGCAGCCGGGAGATAGAAGGCACACCGTAGGTCTATGGAATCATGCAACATTAGTCGGGCTGGCTGCCGGCAAGGACTGGCACAACCAGAATACCTTGAAGAGAGCAAAGAATAGCGAGGCCGAGAAGGTGGTGGGAAACTCTTGCTCAGCAAGCCATTTCTGGATTGCATAAGCTTGGTCGAGTGTCATGTTGGCTAGCGATGCTCTGGTCGGAAAGTCAAACTTCTTCTCCATCGCCATTCTTTGGTGGTGCCGCAGAGTGGTGCAGAGCAGCATATAGGCCAAAAAAACAGGCAGCGCCCAGGTCCACGTCGGCCAGGTTGTCTCCATATTGTCAAGGCGAAGGGATCGTACCTACGCAGAGATGAGGCTCTTCCATGTGGGATTCAAAGCTAAGGAAGGAGCTACGATCGTACACTAGCGCACGATCAAGTAAAGCTGGGGTATGAGTGGTCTGTGCGCCCAGTTGCTGGCCAGTCTCGACAACAGCAACAGCAATGGATCTCAGCTTTGACGTGAGCTTGTATATTTGTGTCATTTCAGTCGTATTTATGCGCAAGCTCTCGGAGTCAGTTGTCGGGGGAATTGGGTTATGTTCTGGACCATATATTGAGTTAAAGGACCATCTCTTTAGATGCTATTTCGGCGTGACACTTAGTCCGGTACCAAATGCTAAGAAAAGATGACTGATCTTCATCAAAAGAGCCAGATATCATTAGCAATCAGTACCAGACTTAGTGGTACACGCTTAAAGGGATGGTCCACCCTTTTCAGAAGGTCAGGTGACTAATTTCGCTACTACTTACTTCACTTTGTTTGATTTCCTTAGCTTTTTAAAGACTTAGACTTTATGCTAGTTTATCCTAATTGATAGACTACCTGCTTCCTACTGCCTTGAAGGTATCTTTTTTTCTTTTTGAGAATGTTTTGTGATATATTAAAAGAGTGCTTGTTAGTAGACATAGCTTGCCACCTTGTTTTAATATTTGTTAGAATAGATTCCTTGTAGAAAAGCATGTAAGTTAATTAATAATTACAAAGAACATAGAACACTCAACTATACCTCTACCAATACCTTTTCTTTCCCTATAAAAGAATGTGTATGAGCAAGCCTAGCCTCTAAATTCTCTTTGATGAGTTTTATCCGCTTGATTACTTGGTATTTTTGTTGGAATATTTCGCCTAGCGTGTGACGTAGGATATTCCAAGATACTTTTATTAGAGTCTCCAAGAAGAGGGACTTGCAAAGTTTCTGGCGGGCCCACTTGACCGATTGACGGATGTATCGCTTCTCCCTTATGGCAAGCTTCTCTTGTCCAGCTACTGCGAGGCAGCAATTTCACGCGATGTTTGTGGTGGAAGCGTTGGAGTGTATAAGTAATTTTTTTATTTTTGATAGCTTAGCCAAAATCACCCAGGTTACCCAAGTCACCCAAGTCACCCACAATGGCGCCCCAGCTCACTCAAAGTGGCTCCTCCTGAATACCTCAAAGCAGCGTGCTCGGGTGAGCGCTAAGCGAGCTCGCTCTGCAAATGTATCATAATGTAATGCCATGTGCCTGGACGACGTGGGTGCTGTCTGCCTTTGTGGCCTACAAACTTCTCTGTACCCTTCTGCGGCGAACACCAGAGAATGGCGATGGAGAAGAAGTTGGACTTTCCGACCCGAGCATCACTGGACAGACACATGCAACACACATTGCTAAGAATTGATGTAAAATCTGCTGTGGAAGGTACCGCATGGCTTTAGTCGTATATAATATTATTATGTCCCAGGGTTCTGACGTGTCGATGTTGTTACACACAAGTTCAGTTCCTTCTGCCAAACCACGAGTAGGCGTAATAGCATTCAAATCAAGCAAAGAAGAGTTAAGAAGCTCAACTGCGCAACCACGTTTTCTTTCTTAGTCTCTCCAAAAGCTGTTCATTCTTTCTCCTCTCTCTTGATCTCTTATGCCTTTAAACCATACACAGACACTACTCCCGGCTACACCAGCCGACCACCGTGGCTGGGTCTCGTCACCGACAACCCGAGGCACGATGGACATTATCTGGCCTTGTGTGTCAACCCTGTTCCTTTGCCTATACTCCATGCTGCACCTGAATCTCCCAGCCCCAGATGATAGCAGTAGGGCGCAGCTCCTTCGCAGGCTCCGCTGGGTTCTCTTAGGCATCCTAGCCCCAGAGTTACCAATGCTCTTCGCCTTTGCCCAGCTCGAGTCTGCTCGGCGGTCGGTGCAAGACATGAAAGCACTCGGCCACACTGGCTGGACTATCTCGCACGGCTTTTATGCTGACAGTGGCGGCTTCGTCCTACACGCTGCTGGCATAAAACCCTTCCTCGTGACAGCTAAGCAGCTGGCGTACCTCGTCGAACGCGGCCATGTCCAGACACCCATCATCACCAAATCCGAGATCAGTGATAAAGGCAAGGCTGATCACTTGGCCAAGGGACTCGCCTGCTTCCAGTCTGGCGGGCTCATCGTGCGGCTCATCGGCCGTGCCGTACACGGACTGCAAATCACGCCAATAGAGCTCGCCACCTCGGGCCTCGTTTTTTGTTCCCTTGTCACCCTCTCCTTCTGGTGGCACAAACCGCTGAACGTCCAGACGCCGACCGCTATCTTTGCCAGCTGCGACATCCGTTCAATTCTCTGCGGCGCCGGGAGTGCTGTTGACCGGGAGCCATTCCGAGATACGCCCCTCGACTTTGCAGAGCCAAAGATTTATTGGTGCAGTACACGGAATGGGAAAATGCCGCGGATAGTATCCAAATGCGCATGGCGGGCTCGGCCGCTTACACGTATGCCATCTCTCTCTTCAACTCATGCCTGCCTGGGTTTCTCTCCCGGACATGGCGGTTTGGTTTCCCATGGCTAACTTGACGCTGCTGTCCCACGTGGGCAGGCATTCCAAATGATCGCGACTTCAGGCCGTCCGGGTTCAGAGAGAACTTGTACCTCGCCATTATTGGAGAAGAAAGGGACACTCTTTGGCAATGACGATCCTGGTCAAGTGCTTCAAGTGTTCAAGAGGACAGAGAAGAAAATCAGCGCACATCAAGTCGATGGGAGCATAGAAGAGGAGAACATGATACAGTGCACCGTTTTCCATGTATGCTGTTGTATTAGGCCTTTGATTTCCCTCTATCTTCAGTAAAAACTAGCCAAGGCCCGGGATCTTAGCGCCTCAACTGAACCAACTTCAACCAACCAACTAGTCTTACGCTTGCCCAGCAGGGTTGGTATCCGCTAGGTGCTCCAAGAAGCACGGCACCTCAGCGCAAGCCCATGCGGCGTTGCCGTTGCCGTTGCCAGTGGGACTATCCTCTTGTCCCCACCCAGAGATAGCCTCGTTGACGCGGAACCGGAACTGACAGGTGTAACATGGCGGCTTACTGGCGCCGGTAGAATCGACGGTGATGACTCTGCCAGGGATGGCAAGATGGTCGGTGTGCTGAAGGGTTCCGGCTTGCTTTGCGCATCTCGCTGATCTCCTTGCCGACAAATGGCCAATTCTCGGCTGATCCACCAATGTAATACCGGTTCTTTTCATCCGCGCACGCGATCATGCAGACGGAGATACAGCTCGGTGTGCCCGGCACATACGTCCAGTTACTTTGGACTAGGTATTGGCCTCTTGTCAAATTCCCGACAATGGGTCCGACCTCCTCTGTTCCAGGAAAATATTGTGAGTAGACATCCTCATACCTTATGCAAGCATTGTATCAAAAGAGCTCTTACTGATACCAATCTCATTCCCGAATTGAGCAACGCAGCAATGGTCAACCCAACAGCAGATCCAGGGCGTGTTTCTCCCCTACTAGTAGCCGCCTGTTGTCCGAACAGATGCTGGATACGAAGAAGCAGTCCTTTCCTATCGATTGCCAGAGGTGGCCGGTCGCTCAGACAATCAACAAACCAGACGCAGTATGAAAGGAGAGCTGAGCAAAATGTGAGAATGTTCGTGGCGACAATCCATGGTAGAGCGAACGAGTGCAATCGATTTTCGTCCCTACATGTTTTCCCTCACTTCTGTGTGTTTGTTTTTACATTCTCGACCGTCGCGTAAAAGAGCGAAAGTCGACAGAGTCCACAGTGGTGGCCTGGCTCGCTCAGTGCCGGCTGTCCTGGACTAGCTAGCCCATCTCATCTGGGATGGCTGGCGCGTCCGATTCCGATGTTGGCGCTGCTTCGTAGGCTTGCTGGATTTCAGGCAGGATCTTGCAGCGGGAGGTCTGTATCATGTCGGTCACATGAGCCCACGCAATGCCTTTTGCCAGTTGCCGGTACGAGGCTATGATGCGAGCAGCGTCAAACACAAGCCCTTCTCCTTCGCCACCGGCCAGCAGACCCGAGAACAGCTGACCGGGGTCCACGAGATCAACCACGAAATCTTCAACATCTTGGTCGTCTGCGAAGCGCCGCTGCCCGTTCTGGATCTCGAGAAAGGCATTATACGAGCGAGCCGCCTCATGATCGAAAAGAACCCACGCCGCCTCTGTCTCGCCATCAACGACAACCTCGAAGCCGGTATAGCGGAGAGCTTGACCCGCCACTGCAATAGAGATCTGGCCAGCTGGGACTACCCACGTCGGTACTCCTTCCCGTCGTTGAGACGGACAGAGCCAGTACATGTCGGGTTGATAGTTGCCTGCGCCGGGCGGCTTCGACGTCGAGACTCGGGGAAGATGTGTGAACTTTGGCTGGAGGATATACCGTACCCCGTCAGGGTCTTCGAAGAGACAGACCTTGAGAGTTCCGAGTTTGGTCCAGGGCATTTGCAAGAAGGCTCGGTCGCAAGGGTCGCTAAGATCCATATCGCGAACACGTTCCAAGTAGCACTGACGACGGTCATCATACGCTTCCTCTGCGCGGTGGGCCGACGTTTCATGCTGGGTGGAGGGCAGAGAAGCATGGTCCAGATTGGCGGCGGTGGCTGCCGGCTTTGGACCCTGCAACCCATGATTTCCGAGCTGGGGCGCATCGCCAACCTCAAAGCGGATGGGAGCATCACTACTTTTTACTGCTGAGGTCTCTTGTGGCAAGCCACTCACGGCCGATGGCAATGGCTCCTTCATTGATTCCTCCTTCGATGGGAGGGGGTTTTCACCCAGTTGCCCGCCTGAAGTTCCCATCCCCGAGATTTCCAATCGTGAAACTCGACCGGTAGAAAGCTTGGATAGGTAAGTCAGTCAAATTCATCCCTCGCTGTGGCAGCATTTATTCAATTCCTCACTGCTTCGCTTCTTGGCGGGGGGAGGTGCGTGGCTGAGGCAGGACTGTTTGATTCAGGAGAGTTGGCTTTTGGTGTTGTGTTGCATTACAGCATGGCGATGATGCGCTGGAGTGATAAAGAACAAAGTCGTGAATTTGATGACAAGTCACGGGATCGAGCGCCTACCATTCTGCCTGCGGAACTTTGTTCCCCCAGTCCCCAGCCTTCACATGTCAATGTCTATTCTCATCAATCCATCCATCCATTCATTCATTCATTCCACCGCCATCCTTCCTTCCTTTTCATCACTTTGCTTTGGTAACATACCGTTCCTTGCCTCGAATATTGTATCGGGGCATGCTTGTTCTGGATGTAAGCCACCCTGTTTTGCTAGGCAGGGTAATTCGCAGTGTACTCACCCGGCACCCGGCACCGAGATGGCTTCGGGAAGCCTGATCCATGGATGGCGGTAGGCGGAAGAGGAAATACAAACCCTCCGAAACTTCGTTGATGCATGCATCTGTCTGACACTTGAAGAGAGAGCGCAGAAGGAAATCGCCCCCGCCGTCTCTCTTCTCTCTTTAGTGAGCACTGCACTGCACTGGGGCTGTCGTCGTGATCATGCAGATGACTTGAGTTCTATTGCCTCGTTGCCCGATGTCGAGATCGGTCGACACGATCAAGTCGCCGAGGACATGGGTAACATGGGTATCTCCTGTCCTATGGACCTCGCGCCTTATTGGATCATACACCTGAGAATGAGCATAGCGACGTGTATAGACATGAGGACGCCAACGATCATGGCGGCGAGGACATCGGTGGCGACATTGACCCTCTTTCAGCGGCTCCGCATGAAGGAGACGCTGTTGTACGAGCCCAAATACCTTCTTATTTCGACTCTCGGACGAATGCCAATATTGGCGTTCATCAGAGCTCGCCATCATATCGCTTTGCCTTCGACACCACTACTGCTCACGGTTTCGAACAACAGCAGAGCTTTCACTGCGCCTCCCTCTCGAGCAGCAGCACAAGTGCAGCTTCTCGGATCAGCCACAAGCAACCGTGGCACTCAGACTTTTTCATTTGAAGTCAGAGACATCCGGCCCTGCCGTGACAACCCAGAAACCGGATCCAAGTGCGATAGGTCGCCAGATGCATGGCGCTAGGATGGTGAAGCTCCGAAATGCAACGACAATAGCCGCCAGGATAGCTGCCAGGACGGCGACATTCCGGCCGGCCGTCCTAATTCAACCGTGAGCAATAACGCTTTTGGCCTCAACTCGGGCTCTGCGAGGTCTCCGATAGCCCGACAAGGAATAGGAAAGAGAGAAGATGTAGGCGATTTGATCACTCGATAGCCTAGCGATCTTCATGAAGTGGATGCCTCCTCGTCGGCCCTCTCGTCAACGTCGCACATCACATACAGTCGCCCTAGCAAAAGGAAGAGAGAGGACAAGTTTGAGAACGAGGACCTGCGCCCACCACCGCCCAGCCCGCTGCCTACAAACATATCTCCTTCAAGAGAACCTCCTGTCCGCAATTCTACCACCGACATTCCCGCGCTGCGCATCCTTGGTGCCGCTATCCGCCCGAACCTTCGCACACTCGAGGATAGCTGCTTTCTTAACGATGTCATTATGAAAGCTCTTGTTGGTCGGGCCATCCTAATCGTCGTACACTCTCCGACACAACAGTGTCTTCGAGAATGGCTGGCCTTGACAGCATGACACTGGGGGCGAGGAATTAGTAGCAGACGGGCTAGCAGCTACTTCGCTCCATGCAGGCCATCGATTCCCCCTTCATTCACGCATGCGATAGCTTATGCTGCCATTGGACGCTATATAGGTGGTTTTCTGCTAGTGATACGCTTGAGGTATACGATTCGTTGTGAGGCTGCCAATATCAGACGATAACATAGGTCCTCGATTCTATACCATAGTACTTAGTTACAGCTAAAGGAAGCGGTATCAGGACAGGCACAGACGCTGGAGCGTATCGTGATGCGATTGATGTTGTCCTTGAAAAGGTGCGAATCACTCAAATGGAGCCAATATTTCGGCTGGCTTCCTTCGTCCTCCTCTCTATCCCGGGGTGATTCCCCCTGCTCCCCTGCGGTGCCCCCAGCAGCCTAACTCATACGACTGTGGCGTGTACGTCATCGAGTTCGCCAACCGTCTATTTCACGATAAGCCACTATCGGACCAAGTCTTGGACGGCAAACATTTCCGTCAACAATACTAGAAGATGCTCTTCAAAGAGCTCGATTCGCATTCTCTGTCAAACGAAGAAGACATGGACAAACTAATGGCATCGGCATCATTGCTGGCTCATCGTCGACGTTAATCGGCCACATCGATCAAGAGTATCGGTCAATGAGGCAAGCTGAAGCTGAAGCCGAAGTTGATCTACGTACTGAGGTTGACATCATCATGACTGCGCGCGCTGGAGCTGCAGGCCCTGGGATATCCATGATGGTGATCTAGGGGGCTGTGTTTCTAGGAACCTACCTCCGGGAAGGAGCTGCGAGCATCGCGCGGCGGTCTCGAGGCAGTAGGGCTAGAGTCGTTGACGATGGTGATACCGATACGATGGCCATGGCCGCAATATCGGTCAACGGGGGCGGACACTAATGGCACTTAGAAGAATGATTTTTGTGTTGCTTGGTGAAGTGGGAAACGCTGTGTTTGTACCTACCTAGGTAGACTTGATAACTAACTCTTCTGTCGAGGGTAGACGCTCTTGAGAAATGCAGGCATTGGGGAAGACATTTGACTCATCGAATTGTGCGATCATGAAATGTACATGTACAACTGTATCTGGTTCGGTTGGAGGATGGCGGTTAACTGAAGTAGGTATCATTAAGATTACTAGACGTATGATGAGGTCTTCTGAAGTGGAACGTCTTTTCTTGTCTTATCTGAGTACTTGGTGATGGACGATGAACGGAACCAAATATACCGACAGTTGCGGTTCCAGAACAGGGAGAGGAGAAAGAAGGATCGATCGAACGAACGAACGATGAACAAGGAAATAAGAAAGTCACCTTGTCAGCGAACCTCCAGCCTCCAGCAAAGTAGGGCAAAGCAAAGCAACTCCTTCACTTTCAACCCATCATCACCAACAGCCAACCCAGTCAAGTCGTCGGCGTCATCACCATCATCGCCCGCCCGCCTGCCTTGCCCTCAAATTCGCCTCTTCCATCTTTCTATTACTCCCTCCTCTCAATTAAGCTACCCAATTCTCTACGCTTTCTTCCGGAATCGCCAATCGCCAGCCTGACCAACCTTTCGGCGCCCGTTTTCATCGTCGCGCCATCGTACCTTTGGCTCATCCACCCACTTCTTCCTCCTCAAACCCAACACTGTTCGAACACACTACGCATTTCTCCCTGTCAAACGAATACCTCTAGCGTCTCGTCGCCCGTCGGTCAGCATGGAACAACAGCCAACCACAGATCCAAATCCGGACCACAACAAGCCACTACTCCACCCCTTCCAGGGCGTGAGTGAGGATGCCAGAGCAACAACCAAGTACCCAATCGCCCGCTGCGACGGCCTCGAGGCCGAGAACGCCGCGCTCCACGACCTGGTCGCCGTCCAGGTCAGAAAGTATGACGAGCTTGAGCACACCTCGCCCATCTGGAGTACAAGTGTGGGGAGATGACGTGGGAGCGCGACAACGACCGCCTGGTGCTCGAGGGCCTCCACCAGGCGCTAGCTGCCAACCACAATGGGGAGATCCAGGTGGTCAAGGCCTCGAGTCCCGCCACAGGCGGAGGCGCTGTCAATGGCGTGGGCTTTGGTTCGGACTCGGCCTAGACAACGGATGGATGGACTTGAACTGAAGATGGAGGGAGTGGAGTGGGGGAACAACTTTGCTTCTTGACGCCCGCTCTGCTCTGCACAGCTTGCCTTCTAGGTGATGCCGTCTCTTCACCCCTTCGCCAGCAAGACCATACCACATCTGCTCCATTGAGTATGCAGTGTAAGCAAGGAGGAGGTTCTTTTTTGCTTTACTCTTGCTTGACTATAAATGGGAGTACGCTACTCTTCGATATCGTTAACTTAGAACTAACATATATTCTTCATAGGGTACTATAATTACTAGCTTTACGTTAGAACTCGACTAGACGATTGGACATCTCTTCAAAATAAACGAGCTTATTGACTAAGAAGGTAGACATACTATATTACTCTCACATAAATACTATTTTACTGGATATAAAGGAAAAGGGTGACTAAAGAAGAGGCTACCTATAGCTCTATATTCTCACTTATACTACCTGTTAGCTTTTGATATGACACACACGAAAATTGACATTTAACTTTCATATGTTCGAGCATATGCCATTTTGCTCACATCATTCTGTCTTCTACACCCTCCCTTGGCTGTCCCATTTATTTCCTAGGTGTCAAACCAACCCGAGACGATGTTTAAGCCGGGATGCCGGTCTCTTGCTTCTGATTCAAGCGTGAAGTTGGATTGGAGTATCCATCAGGTCCAAGTTGCATTTCAAAGGAGCGTATCCCGGCATGGGGTACAAAACTCAAGATGATGGTTGAG